TTGTATTTACTATAATTTATCATCATGAACGTAGCTCCAATTTTCTGATTGTTCTAAAATTCTTGCGTTATCGTTTGCTACGGACAAAAAATTCTCCAAACACTTGCTATTGCTCTATTGCTTTTCCAAACTGCAGTTTCAATTTTCTGATTCATCTAAAATGTTATTGCTTTCGTCCGCAACTGACAGACATTTTCACTAAAAGTATTGACTATTTCAGCTTTGATTTTCAAAACCTGGTTCCAATTGTCTGATTCTTTGAAAATTTTATCGTTATCGTTTGTATTCACTATTACATCTGTTGTCACGAACGTATCTCCAATTGTCTGATTGCTTTAAAATTTTATCGCTATTGTTTGCTACGGACAAAAATTTTCAAAGGACTTGCCATTAGCTCTATTGCTTTTCCAAACTAGCTTTAATTGTTTGATTGTGCTAAAAATGATTTTGCAGCTTTCGTCTGTAGCTGACAGACATTTAAACTAAAAGTAGTCACTATTTCATCTTTGATTTTTAAAACTTAGTTCCAATTGTCCGATAGTTCTAAAATTTTATTGCTACTGTTTGCTACGAAGAAAATTGCTCAAATCACTTGCTATATTGCTTTTCAATTTTCTGATTCATCTAAAATGATTTTGCTTTCGTTCGCAAATGACAAAGTTTTACAACAGAAGCCATAGGATGTATAGAGACATTTTAAAGCTTGATAACCAGACATTAACTTTTAACACCTCGCTGGAAGTGATTTCTAGAAGATAACGAAGCAAGCCATGAACAGTTTATCTTAAATTGGCCTATGATATGTCGGGTATTGGTTTTTCATCTCGGCTAAAAGTTATGGAAGTTCTAAAAATTTTCAAATTCTAGGTTTAGATTGAAGTTTTCGCGGTTTTTTAATGTTCGTTGGAGTAATCAGATTCATGGCTTGCCTTTGCTATCTTCTTGAAATATATTACATGATGATATCACGTTAAATAGTTAAGCTGTGAATGACGGGCATCTAGAAACCTGTTTACAGAAACGGGAAGAGCAAAATTTGTACAACTGCAACACTTCTAAACAACATTGAGAAGTTGGCGACATTTTGGAATGGCTATAGTTAAGAGAGTTTATATAGTTGGGTCTCAATTTACCCGGCTATATGAACTTTCTTAAATATAACGATTTAGAAATGTTTTCACCCTCTCGATGTTGTGCGGAAACTTCTTTGTTGTACAAATTTTTAACTTGCTCTTCTCATTTCTGTAAATAGGTTTCTAGCTGCTCGTTGTCTTTCGGCTTACAATTTAGCGAAATGTCATCATGGAATATACCATATTGAACTAAAACAAATGTTCACCAGATTCAAAATCTTATTTTAATTAAAAAAACGAATAATTGGAATCAAAATTTTCCGTTAGTTTGTATTTTTGGCGGGAAAAATTCAAGGGGGTACCCCCTTAAAATTTTTGTCAAAAAAGTTGTCAGGGGAAACGCTGTGCAAATTTTTTCCAATTTTCCCGCCAAAAGTCTTAGTATATATAGGGCAAATTTTTTGATGACACCTTCGTAATCAATTTAATTGAATTTCACCTAACTAATTAACTATTGTAAGTAGAAAATTAAAGATGAATAAAACAATTGAAAGGAAACACTTGTTGTGAGTACTTTATTCTTTAAAATATTTTATTTAGTTAATAAAAAAGAAATATGGACAGCTGAATAAAAGATTGCATTTATTGACTATCAAGTTAAGCAATAATTTAGAATTAAATCACATCTTTGAAAAAGAAATTGGCGCATCCGTATTTTAGGCGCAGTTTTTNCCGCCAAAAGTCTTAGTATATATAGGGCAAATTTTTTGATGACACCTTTGTAATTAATTTAATTGAATTTAACTTAACTAATTAACTATTGTAAGTAGAAAATCAAAGATAATAAAACAATTCAAATGAAACACTTGTTGTGAGTACTTTAATGTTTGAAATATTTTATTTACTTAATAAAGATTTCAAAAGAAATACACATTGGAATAAAAGATAACATCTACTGACTATTAAATTAAGTCTAAATTTAGAGTTTAAGTACATTTTTCCAAAAAAAAA